AGAAGCACCTAACAAGCGAATAGAAGCACCTAACAAGCGAACAGGGGTCCTTATTTTTTTCACTTGTATATTTTTCTACAGTTTTTTATCGACTTATTCGAGCTTTTTAGCTACGCCTTAACTTATTTAAAATTTTCTTATCAAAGTTTTAACTTAGAATTATGAATTTAACATTTTATAGCCTGACCCGTCCTTTTCCCTAAACCTAACCCTTCGACTACAAATGTAAAGCGCCTTAACTAACTTGACCACGGGAGATTACGCTTGCAAACAACGAATTGTTTGTGACATTTAAAGTATTTTGCATTGCTAATAGCACCGGTAAATTGGGATTCCTTAGGGGCCGCTATTCGCTTGTTAGGTGCTTCTATTCGCTTGTTAGGGGCCTCTATACGCTTGTTAGTTAATACCATATATGGAATACATACGACAACCCTATGGTTTTCGTAGTTAGCGGATTCCCTGTGTAGATACGCATCAAAAACAAAATGGCCGATTCAAGATGGTGGACCATATCGACAATGTAATTAAAAATAAGGTGAAAACCCATTCTGCTCTGCTTTCTTAGTCATTGTAGCTCTCATTGTAGGTTATTGTAGGTCATTGTAGCTCATTTTGCCTTTTAGTAACTACGCCTTGAATAAACGCTGCAGCTTTATCGTGAAAAATGATAACGCCGCGGTGTCTATTCGAGTAAATACGGTAATTACCTTGAACGCTGGCAATAAGACATCCCAAGGGTCATACTGATGTATATGGCTTATAGCCTTCGTTATACTCGGCACTCAGCCCTTCGGTCCGCCCAGCTTCAATTTAGAATACATGATATTTGAACCTTTGTGTCAAAGTTGCAATATGAGCTACAGTGTTTTAGTATTCATTTCCGAAATTTAAACTTAAAGTTTGTGTGTATGAAATTTTAGATTTGGATATGGGTAACGGGTACGACTGTCAAATAAAAACCSGCTATAGATCCTGAATTCAAACATCAAACCTCTCAATATTCAGGAACAATGAAAAAAGAAATGACAATAATAGCTTTTAAAGTTTTGTGCTGAAGCTAAAAGAAATGTTTGAATAATTTTCCGAATAATTGCTGAATGGGTTCCTTKAATTCCCGGTCCAGTTAGGCTAATGTAGGAAATCAAGACGGACTGTACAGTTCTTTTTGGCTTTTAGGTCCTGGTACGAATACGTTCTTTTTAAGCACTTATTTTGCATCACCACCCTTCCTTTGAGACAGCCTRAAAATTGTTCTCTCTGAAAATTGTTTTAAGTAGTCAAGGTCCGTCCATCGCAGTGACGTATCACTCGACCCCAATTAAATCAATTCGACAATTGATTCGAGGCACTTACAATAATCAAGTTCGTTGTTAAAAATTCAGACACATCAGGGACCACCATTCAGATTTAATCTATCACTGGGTATTTAACTTATACACTATACAACAATAGAAATTCAGATATACAAGACTACCAATGTTGAACTCATCTACCTCCCAGTTCTTTGTTTGCGGTTTCGCAACACCAAAAACCCAGTTACTGTATGCTAACTTTATGATAATTCAAGAATTGCTATTGAAGGTTTCAATCAGCAGGATGCTGTTGAAGTGTGAATAAGGGCGTTGTTAATTTATGGAGGGTCTGTAAATATATATAGAGAAAATGTACAGTAACGGTGATATAGTTGCATGAAAAGTGCAACTTTTCGTCAGTTTTATAGCAGTGTAAAGATTACAAAAACTGACCTAGAATAAGACAACTCACCGGTCTCGTTAAGTCTTGAAATATTGTAAAATGCTCTTCCAATTCTGTACATGCCGGACTTGCAGGCTTCGATGTTGCGTACCATGCCTTTACGAACTCCCATCTTCATATTCTCTACATACGTTTCCACAGACTCTTTATGCGTCATCAGTTTGGCTTTGATAATATTCACATCATCTAAAGTCTTTGGCTTCAACCAACGCATTGCATTCTTCAAGTTGGAGCCCATTCTACAAATACCTCGATAGCAAAATATGTCAGGTCCTAGCATCCAGTCACCGGAGTAGTAATTYGACTCATACGGCTGTCCAAATATTAGCTTCAGAAAATGTTTCATTTGYAAAATCGCCTTCCGTTCGCGGGGCTTTAGCTTGTCTTCATCAACTTTAATGCTAATCAACTCCTTACGTAATTTCCAGGCAGTGTCGGTTTTCTTTTTTAAGGTTGCAGGCGCGATGTCATATGCTCTGAATTCGTTTTGCACGCGCTTAACTGCCGCAGCTTTATCAGGGTTGTTCCTAATGTGAGGATCGTCGTATATCATAAACGGGTGTAGTTCGTAGAACGTTTTCTGAACTTTTTCCATGAACTTATCAATTCCTGCTCGCTTTGCTTCCTCAGAGAAACCACAGAACCTTTCTTTGTCAGACGTTACGGTTTGATCGGTCGATGACTTGGATGGACAGCTTAGTTTGGAGGCTCCAAGTGCAATTAAAACTATTCCAACAACTAGAAATATAGYTGCAATAACAACTAGAGCCACTAGAAGGTAAAATGGTCTTCGTTTTGGCTGGGAATACACAGTTTCATACTCTTTGTGAATCATCATTTTTGAGGAACAATTGTCTCTGCTCATTGCAGTGTGCAGTGTGCAGTGTGCAGAGTGAAGTTTGATTGCAAATATTGCCGTATTAATATCACAACTACATTAAATGCTTTTGTGATTGGCTAGTTAACTGCGTGCAGTTTTGCGACGTTGTCTCTTCAACTTGACATCACTTGGGGTCGTTTTCATTAGACCGTGGAAGATTAGTGAGGCTACTAGTTGGCATTGCACTCCGAATCTATTGGTTTCTTTTGTTCTTTTCTTTTCTTTTTAACGACTAAATAGTCAATTACAATGCACGGTCAAATAAAACGACTCTAGGGGGTGTGTTTATACAGTCTCGATTAAAGATGAGACTGTTTGTCAGGTCCTGTCAATAAGTGTTGTATCGCAAAGCGTTATAGAACGCATATATTCCTTGAAATCAAAATATAGCATTAATCTGCAACTGAAGCGGATTATATCTTTGAATACAATCCTTTGACTAATAACTCGATAACAACAGCGCAATGAAAAATAAAACTCACATTTGCCCAAGAAAAATAAGTTGATTTCGTAATCGCATTCTGTTGAGGATGCCCTACATTATACTGCTCAAGCACGGACCAACTTATTACCAGCTATGTACCGTTTGATTACTGAAGTAAATCAAATTTTAATGCAGGCAAGTGCATTGCATGCTGCAGCATTCTAATTATCACTTACTCTATCAGTGAGCTTCTGGAAACAAGATTACAGACTTTAAGCTAATTTTTCATTATTGTTTGTTTGTTTACTAACACAGCCTAAATCTTTACCGTATTTCCGAGATTTGGCTTAACAAATTCAGTGCAAAAAAAGCGAGCAGATGAAGGCGTGTTCGATAACTTATGCGGCAGCAGACAAAGATGTGTTCGATAACTTATGCGGCAGCCAGTAACAGAATTAATTATACCCATCATACTTTTCGGTCTAGTCGCGTAGGGACTAGACCGATCAAACGACAACGTTTAGTCAAAGGGCTGTATCCATTGTTCAACACTACTTACCAAATTCCACAAAAAGTACAAATTGGCTATTACAATTTCACGGATTAGGTGCGTCCAAGTTGGTCTTGAATGATGAAACTATTTCTATAATGTTTTCAAGGGTGATCACTAAGTTTAAGATGAAATCGCTGAGTAAGACTACATGGAGCAGATTATGTGAAAAAATACAAAAATAACTTCCAACTCAGTAATTTCTGTAACTTTTATTTAGCATCTTCATCACTTGAAATGACCTTGTTCTCAAACTACTGTAAGTGACCTTGGAATCCTGCAATAGTGCTTACACCTAATAGTTAATTAATGCAAATACTACTCGTTCCCATTCTCCTTTTCAATTACGGAAAGTCCAATGGTGTTATGTATATTCATGTATATTCATGATATTATGATCGTATATTTACTTCAATTCAATTCCCAAAGGTTAATCTGTAAGAATAAATAGCTTTAACACATTACTAATAAATTGCTTGTAGTTTGTCTGGACCGAAGGACTCCGTGTGATTTATTACAAATGGTACTCATATATACTGGTTAAGTGACAATGCGCGCAAAAAGCAGCCAACTTTCTATTGTGCGAAAAGCAAAAAGCAGGCAAGTTTCTATTGTTCTGCGCTAATTGCAACTTCCCCACATACGAATGTCTTGGTGTTCACACTGATTATATATCAACCTATTGGTATCAGATTTTTAAAATAAAATGTGGATAAACTCTGTTTCTTTTGTATTAAAAGATCTTGTCCAATCATAAGCACTCAAAACAATAGCCAAAAAATGCTTCTAATTTGCTTCTAATGTTCCCCACATAGAATTGCTATTAATATTAATGCTAAGGAAAGCTTTTATGAAGTTGGAATCAGATATTAAATAAAATATAAAAAAATGCGCTTACTGATCACTTTCACAGATACAAATACTTGTGCGACTAAGCGTAGTGCGTTGTGTGTTCTTGAGCACCATCGTTTAATGCTGCTGATTTATCTCCCATCTTGGGTGGGCTCAGTATGTCGTCACATCCTGTCTTGCTGGGATCCTTTTTGCATGCCACGTARCGTTTCGTGTGATCAGACAAATAGGCAAGCGGCGAAGAACCCTGGGACAGCACCTGATAATGGAACTCTTTTATATCAAATTTTTCCTTTAGATTATCCGTGGCATACTTTCGATTCTCCTTAATGCCTATCTGTCCTATCATATAGGCCGTGGCTTGACCATAGACACTTTGGTAACGAGTGATTTCTTTTTCTGTGAAGTCGGTATTATCCCAAGCTTTCTCATCAAATAGCTTGAAGGCCTGGGCCCGAGTCATGCCAGTGTAGTGCAAACCAGTGTCGACGATTAAACGAATAGCTCGCCAGATCTAAAGAATAGAATATGAATTTGTGATGCGTGTTCTTTTTTTAAAAACTTCATGTATAGCAAAATTGTAAAAAGTAATCAGTTGAAGTGCTTGCTATGTTCAAGACATTCGAAAGAGATTTATGTGGTCTAACGTATCATATTAACTAAACTAGTAATAGTTCTCACCAAATCGGCCCCCGCTGTTAAATCTAGTATG